ATCTCGGCTCACTGCAGCCTCTGCCTCCCAGGTTCAAGCTCTTCTGCCTCAGCCTCCTGAGTAGCTGGGATTACAGGCACATGCCACCACGCCCAGCTAATTTTGTATTTTTTTTCTTGAGTTGGGATTTCTCCATGTTAGTCAGGCTGGTCTCAAACTCCTAACCTCAGGTGATCCACCCACCGCAGCCTCCCACTTGCCTCAGCCTCCCAAAGTGCTGGAATTATAGGTGTGAGCCACACACACCTGGCCAAACTTAGTTTTTACCTTTTCAGCTTGTTGTTTGTTGATGCCATTCTTTGCTATTCAAAGTGTTTTATGTCTCAGCCTTTTCCCTTATTCTGCAGTTTCATACTTAAGAAAAATTGTTTGATATTTTCTAGCTCTCTGATCTACTTAAAATTTATTCCCAGGTGACTTTCTGAACTGCTAAACTATGTAATTGAAGAGATGACAACACTGGAGTTATGTTTATGGAAATAAATACTAAATAGTGTCATCTTTATTAAATTTGTGTCTGAATGTGTGCTTTATTTGTTCTTCAGCATGAAGACTTTTTGCTTGCCCTGCAGATGAATGAAGAACAGTATCAAAAGGTAGTTTGAAGTCTCACCGTGTTTATTCTGGGAATTTTCATGGGCTGTTTTCCTTTACCACGTTCTGTCCGCGTTTTTGATGGCAAATTTGTTTTCGGATAGCCTCCTGTTGATCTGCTGAGTTTGCACTTCTGCCAAGTTATAGTCAGATACATGATCTAGTACAGTCACTCTTATACCACACCAAATCAGAATTGAAGGAAGTTAATGGATGTTCCTGTTAAAAATCATTACCTGACACTCATCAGATAGCCTCATAAAGAAAAGTTGATAACTTAGGTATCATTTAGAGTTAAAAGAAAGAGATATGTCTAACCGCAGCGCAAGATGGGTTTCTGTATGGTATCTGCCAGTCTCATATAGTGACCTTTTCTGATTTTCTTTTTTTTTTCCCAGATGGAGTCTTGCTCTGTCACTGAGGCTGAGATGCAGTGGCACAGTCTTGGCTCACTGCAACCTCTGCCTTCTGGGTTCAAGTGATTCCCCTGTCTCAGCCTCCCAAATAGCTGGGACTACAGGCATGCGCCACCATGCCAAGCTAATTTTTGTATTTTTAGTAGAGTCGTGGTTTCACCATGTTGGCCAGGCCCATCTCAAACTCCTGACCTCAGGTGATCCACCCGCCTCAGCCTCCCAAAGTTATGGGATTACAGACATGAGCCATTGCATCCGGTCAGTGATGTTTTCTAATGTGGTATAAGAATTGGTTGGTGGGTGGGCACCATGGCTCATGTCTGTAATCTCGGCACTTTGGGAAGGCCAAGATGGGAGGATTGCTTGAGCCCAGGATTTCAAAACCAACCGGGTTAACATAGCAACATCCCATTTCTAATAAAAATCTAAAATAAATAAATGAAAGAATGGAGCCAGGTTTGGTGGTTCATGCCTGTAATCCAAGCACTTTGGGCAGCTGAGGCAGACAAATCACGAGGTCAGGAGTTTGAAAACAGCCTGGCTAACATGGAGAAACCCTGTCTCTATTAAAATACAAAAATTAGCCGGGCATAGTGGCGGGCGCCTGTAATCCCAGCTACTAGGGAGGCTGAATCAGGAGAGTTGCTTAAACCCGGGAGGCAGCCGGGCGCGGTGGCTCAAGCCTGTAATCCCAGCACTTTGGGAGGCCGAGGCGGGTGGATCACGAGGTCAAGAGATCGAGACCATCCTGGTCAACATGGTGAAACCCTG